ACCCTCCATGCATTTTCCCTCTGTCCACCAGTGCTAATTTTCAAATAAATTTTCTGGTTGCATTCCCTTGGATAGTCAAGCCTAAGAAGATAATTTTCCTGCTTGCTTTCCTAGTGCCACTGGCTAATTACCAAATACTATTTCCTTCTTTCATAGCTCAATATTTATCTGAAGCTACAGACAGGCAATTTGGCAGAAAACTGTAAAATCTCTTCAGTACCAAAATGGAAGTTAAGCAATTTGTAGGCATCTGATTCCAAAATCCAATGCTTGCTTTGGCTGCCATTTCATCTCATCTTGGCTATACCTAAAGTTCACGTACTTTCACGTACAAAAGTTTCTTTGCTGGATGCTCAGAATCACTTCCATCTTATTTGAATCCAACTTAGAGCTTAAATAAGGGAAAGCCTTGCTGGGGTTTTCATACCATTGCATGTATCCCTGTGGGTTCCATCAGCTAGATGTGCTCTGAGAGTGCATATTGGATCAAGCTTTCTACATAAAGCTGTGATAGTTGGTTTCCTTTAATAAATAACCAAAGGGAAGATGATGCCTTCCCAACTGTTACAGTGATTAGATGAATCCAGTTGTCCACATTTTGAATCAAATTCCCAGGTTAGGAAGTTCAAATCCAACCCTTGCCCAGATGCTAGACTCTAAGCTATTCTGTCATGGCTCTCAGCCTCTCCTCTCAGCCTCTCCTTTTAGATGGAATATTTTGAGTCACTGACTCAAAAATAATAAAAAGATTTGTGGAAATTTCATTCCCAATTTTTAGCACACTCACAGCCAAGAGTTGTTGATAAATTTTTGCAATAACTGTTTGATTTAAAGTATGTGTCAGAAAAACCTTTGTGGCCTCAGAGTTCCTTGCTCCTAGTTTCAGTGATCTTTGGCACGCGGGTAAAATGCATGGAAACGTAGGTACAGCAAACTGTGGTCCTCCTCAGGAGGACCTTGTTGTTTCTCTGCGGAGACCAGGTACCTAGAACTTTGACTCTGCGATGCTGAGCAATATAACATTTAAGCATGTTGAGAAATTTGTTTTGTTGTGTCTTTATCTGACAATGTCTCTTAAGAAATCTTTTGAGAGTTTTGCTCTTTATCTGACAATGATTGTTTGTTCTTTGTCTCTTAAGAAATCTTTTGAGAGTTTTGGCAACCTTATGGAAATCTAAGAAAAGTATGCAGCTTTAGAAATGAACCATTTGAATTTTTCTACTGAAATTTTATATTATCAGCTTATCATCCAAGATACACTGCACATAAATTATAATAGCACACAGTCCTAATGGTAATATAATAAGGAAAAGAGTTGTGATTGGAATTATTCACTGTGGCTGTCTTAAGTTTCTCCTCCGCTATTTGCATTGTCTTATGGGAAGTTACGCCATCTGGGATTTTTTTTTTTTTTATTTTGTTATAATGGTCTTAAAAGCAATGTAAATATGCTTTGATTTCACATTAGAATTACTTTCTTTCTGAGTGTTTACACTGGAGACAAACAGGATTTTTTTTTTTTTTTAATAATAGCAAAGTTTGGGTGAATATAAAATCTCATTCAAAATGGTGTTTGTTCCTCTTTCAGCCTAATTTCATAGGGAAATGAGGCTTGCATAATTATTGATCTGTTGGTAACTCCTAATCTATTTAAATTGTTGTCCAGTTTCAAACTATGCAAAAAAATGTAAACATAATTTAAAAAGTTAAAAAAATCAGCAGCTGGAGAGAGGAGAAAACAAACTAAAACCTCAGACCTGTGTTCACACCAAGAGCAAGGCAGGTGCAATTCAGCCTTGTCTTTGCCACGAGCTGGCTGGTCGGGCAATGCGTACGTAGTCCTGACAAGGCAGAGTACATGCTGTTTCTCTGATTGAAAATGTCGTGGAGAAGATACAGTAGAATGGGTTTTCAGGCAGTATAGTAGCAAGACAGGTGAAAATGAATTTAAACCTGTTAATTCAGCTGCACTGGCATAAACTTTTATTATATGAATTAATAAAATTGTGGTTTGAAAGGGGCATAACAAACAAACTCAAATATAGAAACTGCTGGAAGTTTATGATGCATTTAGAGAATGCTGAATTTTTGAAAAAGCAACTTGCATACCGAGCTTTCTTTCAGCAAAGGATAACAGCATAAAGAAAGCTAAGTCAGTAGATCATCTTAAAAATCAGTTTTTGCTTGGCACAGCCACAACATAATTCCAGGTAATATATCGATGGGATTGTATTCCATAGCTAGGCTGGCTTATTTGAAATACTTTTAACAAGTCTACACAGCAGAACACAATGCATTTTGGAGATACCCAAGCTGGTCTGAAGTTAGGGCAGCCCTGCGCAGCTACGCTAGCTTGGATCTTGAGTCATCAGTGTGGCACAGTCTAACCTAATTAGAACTGGCTCTGAGCAAGACTCATCAGCTGGTACATGAGAGTGTGCAGATACAGCTAAGTTGCTTCTGACCGTGGAGACAGCGAGCACCTAGGATTTGGGTTTAGGGGTTTCTGTACTGGGTTGTTTTCCATAGCCTTTTGAAGTCCTTTAAAATACACAAGCGTTTTTCTCATAGATTGGACTAATACATCTAGAACCACATTATTTTGCAAGTAACTTTTGAAATACAAATGCGTCATTTTGTTTTCCCAATGATTAATGAAAAAACTATTTTTTTAAGTGTCTGGAATTGTTTTGGAGAATTATGGATTGATATATGTTCTACATCTCTGTATGGTCAATGTGCTATATTATTGCTTTTCTGTTGGTTACAAAAAAAGAAAGATCCTATGGCACAAGTCCCTCCACAGTCTGCTGTGAGTCATGTGTGAAAGGAAAAGATATGTGCCATTCTTTTTCAATTACCACTGCATTAAACTACTAGTTTATTTGACTTCCAGTGGTGTGCTGTTTATTTTTCGTTCACTAAGTCTTCCTTGCATATCAGAATTTACCTGATCTCCTTGTGATGTTAACCACATTTCTGTGTAATTTAATGCAACATTTGCCTTTTTGGTTGAGTTTCATGTTCTGTGTTGGCTTAAATAAGATTATCAAATCTTTGAAAGATGGTTATGATTTAAAAAAATGTTTTATGCAACTCATTCCTTGCTGTAAATAAGGGGGGGGAAGTTCCCACTTTCTGATTTCAAGGTCTTTCTTTGCCACTGGTATCTTGCCTACTTCTCTGAATGCATTGCACTGTCCCTGGCTCACCCTTCTTTCCAATCAGATATTTCCTTCAGCTTCTTGCTGTCCTCCTTTCGTTACCGTATTCCAACTGAGTCCTCGTCTTACTCCTTTAAAAGCACTATTCCCTTTAGTAGCTGAAAGCGATTAGATCTCAGCTTTACAGAAAGAACTCAAGCCCTTTCAGTGCTGGGAGCATTAAGTACTCCTTCTTTCTTAATACTTCCATCTGCTAAAAAGAAGTAAAGTTCATCCTTACAAATCTTGATTTACATACCAAGTACCATGTTGAATAAGATGCTTGTTGCTGGAATTAAACAGGAATAATGTGTCCAGGCACCAGCATGTTTCATGTGTTATACAAGAGTGTTTTGCTTTGTCCACAGAGAGGCAGCAATAGGGATATTTGGGCAGTTTGGGATGGCGAATAGGTAGAGTGAGTAGAGGAGACTGGGCAGTAAAATCATAGCAGCGATGGTCACAAAGGGAATCATGAGGTTCAACAAGGCCAAGTGCCGGGTCTGCACTTGGGTCACAACAACCCCATGCAGCGCTGCAGGCTTGGGGAAGAGTGGCTGGAAAGCTGCCTGTCGGAAAAGGACCTGGGGGTGCTGGTCGACAGCCGGCTGAACATGAGCCGGCAGCGTGCCCAGGCGGCCAAGAAGGCCAAGGGCATCCTGGCCTGTATCAGAAATAGTGTGGCCAGCAGGAGTAGGGAAGTGATCGTGCCCCTGTACTCGGCCCTGGTGAGGCCGCACCTCGAACACTGTGTTCAGTTTTGGGCCCCTCACTACAAGAAGGACGTTGAGGTGCTGGAGCGTGTCCAGAGAAGGGCAACGAGGCTGGTGAGGGGTCTGGAGAACAAGTCTGATGAGGAGCGGCTGAGGGAATTGGGGTTGTTTAGCCTGGAGAAAAGGAGGCAGAGGGGAGACCTCATCGCTCTCTACAACTCCCTGAAAGGAGGTTGTAGCGAGGTGGGGTCGGTCTCTTCTCCCAAGTAACAAGCGATAGGACGAGAGGAAATGGCCTCAAGTTGTGCCAGGGGAGGTTTAGATTGGATGTGAGGAAAAATTTCTTTACTGAAAGAGTGGTGAAACATTGGAGCAGGCTGCCCAGGGAAGTGGTTGAGTCCCCATCCCTGGAGGTATTTAAAAGACGTGTAGATGTGGTGCTTAGGGACACGGTTTAGTGGTGGACGTGGCAGTGCTAGGTTAACGGTTGGACTCAATGATCCTAAAGGTCTTTTCCAACCTAAATAATTCTCTGATTCTATGATTGGGGGAAAAAAAAATAAGTCTTTAATAGGAGTGATAGCTCTTCTAGGTGGAGGAGAGCAGAGTAAGTATCTGAGCAGGAAAGCAAGGACTGGGGAGCAGGAGTGAAGGAGAAGGATGTAGTTTGAAGGCAGAATTATAGGGAGATGCAATTGGGATGATGCTGTTGGGGTGCTCTGTCCTGTTCTCCCTACCAGCACAGGTGAGTTCTGTGTATCTATAACACACACTGCTGTTTTTCTTATGTTGTGCTGGTTGCTCTCAGCTGTCTGTCTTGGTGTTTTGGTTTCCTTTTCAGTTGTTACAGGTGACTGCTCTAGAAGAAAAACAGTTTGGGAATAAAGAAAAAAAGGCAGAGAGTATCGAGGCAGTTGCTGCACATGTTTTAAAAAAAAATATTTCTCCTGAGCAATTCAGTAACTAAGCCATTAATTTTTTCCTAACAGCAGTTAGTTTATTTAGTGAGTTGTTTATATTTTCTGGAAAAAAGTACAAGTGTAAAACTTATCTTTAATTTCCATTTTTTTTTTTTCAATTCTAGGAGAAACAATGAGAATCGCCTCTTCGGAGTTTGCTGACGACCCATGCTCCTCAGTGAAACGGGGCACCATGGTGCGAGCTGCTCGTGCCTTGCTTTCTGCTGTCACTCGCTTGCTCATCCTGGCTGATATGGCTGATGTCATGAGGCTTCTATCACATCTGAAAATTGTATGCATTTTTAATATTCGGTATTCTTTTTGCATGTTTTGTGTGTAGAAAAATAGGGAACGAATCAGTAATAGATGTCACTGTTCACATTCCTTACTCTATTTCACTGTTTTTTCTTAAAGTGCTGAACGAGAAGTAGGAGATAACGCATTTCTACATTAGTCTTATTCATTTTCTAATTTTACAGAAATTAAGTTTCGGAGACTTAAAGTAAAAATTATCAGATATCTTCAATGCCTGGACTAGTACTGCTGTTCAGCAGCTCTCTGAACTGAACAGATGCATTTACTTATCTCACCTTGCCTGTTATCCGGATGGTTTACTAGCTCAGTACTTGTAAAGTATTGCTATCTTGTGGCAGAGTTTAGGTACTACAGTTGTTCTGCTTTTTTTTTCTCTGCACGACTTCTGGATGTATCAAAAGATTAAATCTTTAATTTGGAGTGAGACAATAGTGCAAGTGTCTAATCAGTCATCAAAGAGGAAAAATAGAATAAAGAGGAATTAAAGATTGCCAGATAGTTTGGTATGGATTTGTATTCACTTTGGCTGCCACCATTCACGTTTTTATACAGGAGTATTAAAAGACTGCAGTTGAAACTGGGAAATGTATTTTTTTTTCTTTTGCTAGTTATTGGACTATTTCACTTTTATTGCATAAAAAAATAAACAAAAACCTCTGAAACAAAACCAAATTTTGCAGAAACTCATATACAGAATATTCAAAGCCTGCAGCGTGCATGTGTGAGTTTAGCAGAGGAGTCGGAGAGTTACTTTTTTTTAATAACTGTCTAAAAACTATTTTCTTTTTTTTTTAAAATTTGTGTTTTTAACAGTACTGTGTACTGTACAACAGTACAGTGTTGTACTGTGCTGTACAACAGTATTATGTTCTGGAAAAACAATGAGAACCCTTCAACTTGCAAACTGTGCAGTTAAGCTAAATAGTTTGAAAACAGTTTTCATAATGAAAAAGGCAGATTTTTCTGCACAGATTCTAGTGAGCTCTGCTCTGATAAACAGAATGCTGCTCTCGTAATTGTCAGCATGTGGCTCTGATTATGTGCAGTGTAAGCATTGTCTCTCTCAAATATGCTTTTAATTTTTCCCCACTACAATACTCCATGCAACTGTAATTCAAATAGTCCTTTGCTAGCGAGACTAACACTTTAGTATTATAAACAACAGATTTTTCTAAACATTGTGATTAAAATTCAAATTCAAGGTCTTTCATAGGTGATGAGAAATTTTGTTCTCACATCTGAGATTTCTTCCCTCTGTTACAGCAGTGTACTCTGTTATTTAAAACACAAATGTCCAATACTGTTTTCTAAGTGAGTATATTTACTTACACAGTTTGCAGCCCCGATTTGCAAGGGCAGTGTATGGCAATGTGGTTTGTAATCTCTGCATTTATCAGATGTTATTATGAATCCTGTTTCCAAGAAGCCAGACATCTCTGGTTGTTTTTAGAAAAATTCAAGTTATGAACCTTAAATTTGATTTTTTTTTTTTTTCAGGTTAAAAAGGGTAATTTATTTCTGAGGATTGGCAGTGTACATATTTTTATCTTACCATTTTATAAGGCAAACTAATTTTAGATGAATAAAAATTAAATTACTGGGAAAAAAAAGTGTTTATATTTTACAAAATTGATGAAGGGACAGCTCTTGTATTGACTCAAAGGTAACAAAGACTGGTGTAAGTTAACCATAAAATTAATAAACTAAAATCATTCTGCACGTCAAAGTTACGAAGCCTGATTTATACTGAAATGTACTGTAATCAGTTTTCACTGAAAGCATGTCAAAAGAGTGAGTTAGGCTTCAGACTTCATGGGAAATAGTGCATTTTAATTAAAGTTTTAGAGCAAATATATGCAGATGCTTTCTGGAAGGATACTCGGTCATTTTTTTCAAATTCTCTGTTGCATTACTAAAATTAGTAATAGTGCCTATTGCAGTGAAGCTTGTGTAACACTCACAGCATATACTAATATAGTATGTGGTCATGTACATACAGAATTATGAGTCTATTGTAATTAGTTACATGCAAGATTAACTTGTTGGTATAACTGGGGGTTTATATCTTTGCCTGTTAGCTACAGGATGACTGAGTAACTTGCAGGTATGTTTTCTTTGGTAGATTCTTTTCTCAATTTTAAAGTAACTGAAAAAGGAAAGCTGAGAGCTGAGAAAAAACAAATAATAAATATATCCTGGGTTGAATCTATTGTTTCATTTATTTCACAAAGACACAGTGGTGTGGATATATCAGGGTAAATTTAAATCTTAATGGTAAGTTTGAGTTTCCTTTTTAAATGTCATTTCTTGTCCAGAATTAATAACTTCCCTTTGTTGTCCCATAAAGCCTGTACCACACGTTAAGAACATACTCATCTACTTCGTTTTAAAACCTGCAGATATTAAACATTTCATCTGATAAGTGTGAGTGGGGAAATTAAGATAGTTATGCCCCTTACATTATTTTTACATGATACCAAAGTACAGTAAATGGAAAGTAATGCAGAATGACAATCAGACAGCTTCTCTATTAAGAAACCTAATTAAAGTTAGTGGGACTATCATAAAGCCTCTGTACAGTGATGGACGTAAATGCTAAATTGGGTCCATATAATAGAGATTATTGGGTAGAATAGTTACAGACTTTGTCAAAGAGTGCACCCGGATTAAAATGCTAACACAGTTGATATATTATGTTCTAGGTAGAGGAAGCACTAGAAGCAGTGAAAAATGCAACAAATGAGCAAGATTTAGCGAATCGCTTTAAAGAATTTGGAAAAGAGATGGTAAAACTGAACTATGTAGCTGCTAGACGACAACAGGTGAGTACATTTTAAAGCAGTGGTTGAGAAAGTCAGTCTTGGTTCTAAAGATCTTGTACTTTATGTGCACGTCTGGTTTAAAATGTACAATAAGTAATTGCTGTGTCATGGCCTATAATTTAATCACATTGTTTTCTTTGAATGTGATGAAGGTTTTCAAAAATGCAGTTTCTTTAAGAATATTTTCCAAGTGGCTTCAATTAATAACAGAATGAAGGGTGAAAAGGCAAGTGATTCAGGAGGTTAAGGACAGTTTTAATTTGATGATTATTCCCATTTAATTCTAACCTATGCTGATTTGAGGTCACTCTGACAGCTGGTAAAGCACGAGCTCTTTGGTAGTCTAGTATAATTCAAATTCAGGAAGAACAGAAATCTACTTTGTGTTTAAAACCATCATTATTAATTTTCAGATGCGTAAAAAAAGCAATTCGTTCATTACTAAGGTGGATGGAAAAGAGACCAGAAAGTCACGATAACATTTATTCAATGCCTGCAATTATACAACTTGGCAATAAAGATTACTTTCTCCTGAACACTGTTCTTTTTAAGAGTCCAGACAGTGCTGTCACTGTGGAGTTGTATAGCGTCTCTCCAACTGCGATTGTATTTGAATACCACCAATCATTCAGGGGTGTGTCGTCTTTCTATTGCATAGCACACTGGATGGGAAAAAGATAGAAATGTGAAAGCTAATGAAGGTATATGTCTCTTAAGTTCTTACTGGAGGTATGAAAAGATAACAGAAAATCTTAGTTATAAACCTTTTAAAATTTTCTTCTTGAGGTGCATTTTTATAATGTCAGTAAGGTTTCCCATATAACTGTGGAAAACCTTGACAGCATTAGAACTTACTACTTAGATGTTCTTATATTTTCCTTTCATCTGTTCTGTTTTGTAGCCTGATAGTTTTTAGGAACTTAATTGTCTCTGAAAACTGTTGCCTGTCAGTCATGTGTGGTTGAAATTAGTCAATGGGTAGAACCTTTAAATCCAGAATATCTGTGTTCTTCTTTAATTTTTGCCATAGATTCTATGTGTGAACATAAGTAAACTATTCAGCTCTCCAGACTTCTTTGCTGCTACTTTTAAAATAGAAGTAACAATGTTTTGTTACTCCTTATGAATATTGTTAGGACTACCTTATGTAATGTTTGAAAGGCTTTCATGGACAGTGTGATATATCCTATAAATAAATAAATTCATGGATTAAGTAACAATAATACAATGTCATCTTATTCTGGTAACATATTGTACAGTATCTGATGCTTGTTGTCAGGGGAAACAAAAGAAAGTATATGTCATTAAACCAAACACTAAATGATATGAGGAATAGAACAAAATATGAAGGCAAGGCTAAAAACAATGAGGGGCATATTTATTAGGTCTTTAAGAACTAAATACATATTCAACAATATAATATTTTTAGGTTTGGATTTTTGTAAAGGTCTACCTTATGATGATTTTATAAAGGACATAGGTATAGTACTTATAAAATTATGGCACTTGCTGCAACAGGATTGCTGCACTCGCATTGCCTTTATGGAATCAGCAGCCTGAATCCAGTCAATCAGGAAGAGTAATTCTGAATGTTTTATATAAATTTTCTGCGGGTCTTTGAATAAGGGAAGCACGTAGACTCTTTGATGAGAAGATATTGGGAGCAGAATGTAACAGCTGTAGCTACACAGGAGGAGTGGACTTTCTTGGGCAGGAGGGAGATTTCTTTCTGTGATTTATGGCAGAGTCTGTCGTTGATTCCATCTCTGGAAAATCACTGGATGGGATTTATGCAGAGACACTTAAGCTGTATAGACAATACATTCCAACACGAGAACTTTCATTGACAACTATAAAAATAGTGTGTTTTTCTATAGGAACTGAAAGATCCTCACTGCAGGGACGAAATGGCTGCAGCTCGAGGTGCTCTGAAGAAGAATGCCACTATGTTGTATACTGCATCCCAAGCATTTCTCCGTCACCCTGACGTTGCAGCCACTAGGGCCAACAGAGACTATGTCTTCAAGCAAGTACAAGAAGCAATTGCTGGTATCTCCAATGCTGCCCAGGCCACCTCACCCACTGATGAGAACAAGGGGCACACTGGCATAGGAGAGCTTGCTGCTGCACTAAATGAATTTGATGTAAGTATCAGAACTGTATGGAAAATGAAGTGTTTCTCCATGAAATCTACAGTGCTTTTAACTAAGCGGGTCTTGAACAGGACTCAAATTTCCCTTTTCATTCAGGTCTATTTCCTCATACTGCAGAGGCAAAGTGCAGACATTGATTTGTGTTATTTTTAATGAGGAATAGTTCTTTGCTGTGAATGGACTTGAATTATAAAGAGTTATTTATGCTCATATGCAGTGGCTGTGATAGAGAGAAAGAAGTCCTCTTTTGCCCTAGTGTCCTTGAAAAATCTAGCTACATAGTTCTAAATAATGCAAAGTCTGATTAATCTGGCATTTTAATTCTGTGACCAAGATCTGTGATTTGTTGAATGGTAAAATCATATTTGTCTGGCAAGTCAGGAAGTCAAGACAATAAAATAAAGACAGTGATGGAGCTGAGCATCCAGGAAACGTTAACATTCAACTTCAGTCAGGAGTTATGTTAATCAAAGATATGGAAAAAGCATCTTTCAAACACAGTTGATACCAGTCACTTCAGCTGCAGGCAAAGTGCTGCAGCCTCTATTCCAGAAATAGCTACAGTTTTGCTTAAGCAACAGTTGCAGACAATATCTGAAAAGATGTTTTTTCTCTTTCATTCTGACTTTAAGTAAGGGCCTTTTAAAATTATAATTAGGGAACGGTGTCCTTTTCACTTTGATTAATACATGACATTGCAATACAAACATCTGTCATACACCTGCAGGAGCTACTCAATCCTGCTGTACTTAGGGCTGAAAGCGGAGGTGTAGTGCAGGTGGTTCATCTCATGTCATGTTAGACTGGGCTTGTCTTCTGCATCTGTGGCTTACTGTCACTGGGTCTATTTTGGAGACAGTAGTAGAAAGGGTAAATATTATAGGATCAAGGGAAGCTCCAGGATTGAGTAAGATAGTGAAAAAAGGCAGAGAATGAGTTTACAAATAGTAGCAAAAGGGAAATGGGGTTAGAGGTGGAAACATGACAGCAGAAAATGTGTGGATAGGTGTAGGAAGAGACAAGCAAAGAGGGTAAAACCATTCAGAACTACTGCAGGACCCAGAGGCTGACTCCAGTTCCATCATGCTTTTCAAGTAAATGAAACAGTAGTGCCTGCATCGACTATACTGATCTTTTTTTTTTTTAATATCTGTATTTCTAGATCTATAGTTTTTCCTGTAAAATTATTGTGGGTCAAGATTTAAGGTCTTCTGCATGGTTTTCAGGGCCTTCTCAGCTCACAGGTCCCCTATTGGTAAGTTCCTGAGAACGATATCCCTGTTTGGTCTGATTGTACCCTGGCTTTTGTGTGGGACTTGGCATGTTATGGACAGCAGAGGTTTGACAAACACTAACAGAAAACATGTGACAAACTGATGATGCTGCTGCTCTCTGGAAAAGGCTGCTGTTCAATGCAAAGAGAGTCGTCGTGCTTAGTGAAAGTAAATTTAGTGAAGACTACGCGAGACATCTGATGTTGTCCCCTGCCTCTTTGTGAGAATATTTGTTCATCATTTTTCTCCTCAGGTAAAGTCTTTTTCACTTTACGTGATGTTGCAGGCATCGTGAATGCGTATGTGAGACGTATAGCCATAGTACCGTGTTCTGTTCACAATTACGTGTGGAAAACCAGCCTGTCTTTTTTGAGAAATTTCTGTACTTTTAAGAAATGAAATGAAAATTTTCTTCTCTGGCTTATTGAGGATAGAAAGATTGAAACTATTGATTTATCTGCTTTCTAACTATATTTCCTGTTTTGCCTCACTGCTTAGCTGTTAAATGAGATTTATTCACACCTAATTTTGCAACAGAGACAATATTCCCTAAACTCCAGGGAAAGTGGAAATTTATGGCTGCGGTGGGGGGATGTTTGTGATTTTTTTTAAAAAATTACATTTGTGAATATGTTTTACAAGCAAGAAAGCAAGAAAAATTACCAGACTAGTGAAACTATGTCATGGGAAAAAAGATGGTGGAGAAAAATGTTTGATTTTTATGCTGGCAATGTATTCCTTCAAAAAGGGAGAGGAAGTTTATATTTTCTAGTGAAAATAATTTTACAGTATGTTTTTTTTACAGTAGCAGTCATATTGATTGAGATCAATTTGTATTTGGTATGAAGTGCACGCTAAACCTTGTATTATATGGCGAGATAATTCTTCTATATTAAAAATAAGTTTGCAGGTTTTTCCATAATATTTAACACTTCTCAGGCTTCATTATTTAAAATTTCAGAATCAGCGTTCTGTGCCTTAATGCTTCAAATAACTGCGGTGTAAATTGTCTGAATACTTTATCAATCAAAATTTCATCACTTGTAATATAAATAATTATTCCACCTATTTTAAGCACTTCACCTATTGTGTTTAAATAGGCGTCATGTTAGTTGTCATACTCTACACAATGGTGACTTGTGATATAAAGTCACCTGTGAGTTATTAGCAGCAAAGTTTGGAAAAAGTTGTCATTTATTGCTTCTCGGAGATAATTTATGTAGAAATGAAGAGAGTTCATGAATCTGTCTCTTACCAGATTTTCTACTTTAAAGTACTGTTTGAAGTTGATTGATTGCAGAAGTACATGTTTAATGCCTCATTTTTTGTCCTTTAACTTAAATGTTCCTGCTTTAATTTTGGATCATTTAAATCCAAATATTCCTGGATTTATTAATAAAGTAATTTATTAGTAAAATTTGGTATATTTCTGGGTTCTTGGGGCGCACTGAGGACGCACCTTTTATTCCTCTCATGAAACTCGCCCAAATTTATGCAAGTTCTGTAGAGAGGTTTGTTAAGAACGTATTGTGAGTTCTGAGAATATTCTGTTTGCGCTGAGGAAATGGTAGTTTGGTCTGGTCAGTCTGCATAGGTCTCAGCCTTTCTGATTATCAAGAGCCTGCTGTGTTGTCCCATGTTGAGTGTTGTGGGATTGATTCAGCTGGTACCCTCCGTGCTCTCCCCATAGCCGTCATGATCTGTACCAGGGACAGGACCCACCCATCAAACTGGAGTGCAGTGGGGAGGTGGATAAAAAGATAGTAAAATTACTAAGTGTGAAGAAATGAAGTGAGAAAGACCAGGAAATCTGTGCTAAATCTGATGAAAACTGTGGTGAAGATAGATGGCATTGTGAAGAAATGAAGTGAGAAAGACCAGGAAATCTGTGCTAGATGAAAACTGTGGTGAAGATAGATGGCATGTACACTCCGATGTGGGGTTGGCGACTAGATAAATAGATGCAGAGTGATGGGTGTCAACCACTGCCAGGGCTGGAGGCAGGCAGGCGGGGGGACTCGTTCTGCATGACGGAACGGAGAGCGATCTCCAATCAGCAGGAGAGTGCCTCCGTTCAGAATATGGATTGAGACTGTGATTTCTTCGTTTCTAGAAATGTAGCTGTGTCAGTGGTATGTGCTGACAAAACTTTAGAAGTGCTAACCACTGCGGAAATTCAAATTCCAGGGGTTTCAAACAGGGCACCCTAAAATACTTAACATTTTAAACAATTCTAAATATTTTGTTTTAGATTTTGATATGAAAAGTGAGGTAATCATTCTTGTACAGTACTGCGAGGGTAGGTGTAACAGTTTTGTGAATATAAAAATGTTTACTATGCATGCAGCCATAGACCCGTAAAAAGGAGTATTTCTGTGTTTGGAGCAAGGCTTGGATTGTCTACAATAAATTATGAGTCAAGGATAAAATAAATGAATAAAGCCTGTGACTTAGAAAGGGGGGAGAAGAGATATCTAAAGGAAAAAAGGACCAAAAAACCTGGTGCTAAAAGCAAATATCTCTCATCTTTTGTATTGCTCCAGAAAGAAAATATCAGAACTGATGAATCTGCTTAGCTGACTTTCTCCTTGAGTTTTGTGTTTGTGTGTGTGTGTATAATAAATTAGCAAGTTCTGTATCTTTCAATGGAATAAAATGATATTGTATTTGTTAAAATGTATATATAGTCCTTGCTTTTTAATACGTGTTATTCCAAACAGACACACCCTATACTTGATGTTATTTTAATACTCCAATGATTTGTTGTTTCTGTGTGTGTGCACACATCCATTTGTCTTTAAAGTTGCTTACCAGCACCATCGATCCATGTTATATCCTGAACTCCTGTGCCTGTGTGTCTCCTCTTTACTCTTCAGTTTCAAAATCGTATTGAGTCTTGAATGAATATGAAAATAACTTGGTTTATAAAGGAGTTGATCTAGTTGAGAACTGAAAGAGATGGTTAAAATTACTTTTGGTGTATGAGGTATTTCTAAATTTGGGATAGGTCCCAAGGGATGGAAAATGTACCATTTTTTGTTATGAGAAGGATTTGAACCGAAAAACTCCAGGCAGAGGATCTCAATCTTTAGTAAATTTTTGAACAATGCAAGTCTACCATTTGGGAGATGACTACGTCTGATGAGAAACAAAGTGTCTGATGACACCGGTCACTGTCCTCCAGGCTGTAAAATGAAGTTCATACTTAATAAATGGACTATCGTAACATATTTCTCGAAGATATTAATAATCCCTTGGGAATATTTGCAGGGCTAGTGAATGCAGTGCTCCTTAAATGGAGTGAAAGATCTAATAAGTGTGTAATGAAAAAAAAAAAAGCAAACAACATAGAAACTGAAAAGACAAAATACTTGAGTACAACAATAGCAAAGGACGCTTTTTTTTGGTAATAAAATTAACAGCAGACAAAATGTGACATAAAGGTAGCGGACAGAAGAGATGCTGTATCATTAAGTGACTACCTTTAAAATGTTGTTGCTTTTTGGACAAATAACTGTACTAGATGTTCAGCCTGGGAATGGATTTCACAGAATAGTTACGGAATCTCAATTTACTTGTAAATATGTTCTTCAGAGAAGTGATTTGTGATGCTGGAAATAAAAAGGACTGAATGTGAGCTTCAGAATAAGGAATGAAACGTGTTTGTTTTGGTATTGAAATCATAAGAAACAATTGCAAAAAAATGACTGCACGTCC